TTGTAACCTTACAAACAGCAGCCGTGAAGCTGTAATCATTTGCCACATGCTACGACATCAAAGAACAACGTAATATGGTGGCAAGTTTTTGTTTTAAATGGATTCTAATATATTTAAAAGAAATAGAACTCAGTGAGTCGATAAATACCTACTGCAAATTCCTCCGCTCCATACGGGGAGTCCCCCCCCCTTTTTATGACAAAACAATACTAAAGTGTTTGCTTTTTTCCACACAGAGCTTGCTTGCTTGCTTGCTGTGGCATTTAGATTTAGTTAAAGATGAAATGGAAGAGAGGGGGAGATGCTTGCATCTTATTTAACACTTTCAAGAATCAGAACAAAAAGATGCCAGGAAATGCCTTTGGAGTTCTCAGAGCATGAGTGAAGAAGAGATGGGTACACCAGTCTTTTTCTGGTCTATCTCTCTTTGGCATGTGTTCACCCATAAAGCTGTTCCTCCTCTTTTCTGTATTAATCTGATGTTTTGGGGTGTTGTATTTTTTTTTTTTTAAATATGAATTAAACACGTTTTTTTAATTGTATTTTCTCAACAGATATGCCTCTCTAACTATTTTAATGTAATTTCTAAATATAATCTGTATCAAACACAAATATTTAAATGCAGTATCTCTTTGAAGCAATGCATCTCTCTTTTGAAATGTTTTTTGCTTTAAATATATGCTTTCTTCAATGTATCTGGATACTTTTTTCAAAAAAGAAAAAAAAGAAAAAGAGAGAACTGTGTTGCAACATTCAATAATTATGTTCTGGTTGGCACATTAATCCAGAAGTTGTGGATCTGGTCTGCTCATACCGGATTTTGCAACAACAACAAAAAAGGTCCTCAAGCATTCCTAATATACCGCCCCCCCCCCACATACAAACAAGCCACACTGCAATCAACTGAATGCAAACAACCAAGCTCTGGATCACCTAATATCTTCTTCTTCTTCTTCTTCTTCTTCTTCTTCTTCTTCTTCTTCTTCTTCTTCTTCTTCTTTTGTATACCATCCTTTACCCGCAGGTCTCAGGGCGGTTTACAGGATAAAATCACAATATGAAAACACAAAATACATAATCAAAATAAAAACAAAAACATTGGGCATTGAGTGGTATTCAACTAACTTTTACTCAGAGCAAAGCCGTTGAAATTACTGACTTTTGATTAATGAAATTAATAATAATAAGAATAGCAATAAATGTTATTTGTATCCCGCCCTCCCCTGCCAGAGCTGGGATCAGAGCGGCTAACCTCATATAAAACAAAATATATGTAAAAACAAACAATCGATTAAAATGCATCCCTAAATTAATTAAAATAAATTAAAATTAAAATTAGACTGGACAAATGGCCATCCTCAAGTTAGAATTGAAAGTGGTTAATATCATCAGTAAAAACAAACAAACATACTGTACATACAAAGGACCAACCCACATGATGCTGACACAAATCCCTACACTAACACTATCTAGCAGAACAAAAGAACCATACCCCCCATCTTTCTCACACTCTCTCTTTCTCTCTCCCCTCTGTTTTCCCCCAACCACAAGATGTCTGTGACAAGTGTCTCTCACAAAATGTAAACAAACTGTGGAAAAGACTCTATGAACTGAAAATGGAGATGACAAAGATAAGTGCGACAATTTAAAAAGTAATAAGGTATCATGATAGGGGTGATTGGAAGTCGTTATAGAAGATATGTATTAGGAAATTATTCTATTTAGATGTATTGTGTTAAAGTGTTTTTGTTGTTGATTGTTTGGTTTTTTTCCTGTTGGAACTGATAAAGCAAAAGAAAAAAAGAAAAGAAAATGGAGATGACAGATGTACTTTCCCCTGCTTATTAGTTTGTTTTGTAACACAATAAAATATTTAATAAAAGCTATTAAAAAAAATTGGGGAGGGGGGAGGAAGCATGTGTGAAGATTCTTCAAATACCCTCAGGACTGAGGAGCGAGCACCTGTGGAGACAGTGGCAAGCAAACTGATGCCAGACTCCTATTTAGGGTTCAGTGCTGCTGTCATTATGCAATATGAGTGGCTGCTTTAAGTTCTTAGCTACTGTACATAATTGCCCACTTAACTAGCACTGATTGTTTCCTTTCAGTCTGAATGATTCATAGTCCACAAGAGGAAGGCACCTTTGAACCGCGATGGCCATCACACTTCATATTTGCCATGTCAAGTCCTGTTTACACCATCTGTCAGAAAGATGACAATCTCCGCCATGGTCCAGATCATCGGCCACAGGAACCTCCCCATACCTCGACCCCAAATCACCCATTAATTTCTCTCTTTGACCCTTAACCATTCAATTGACGTTCGTGTTCTATAAAGCCCCTGCAACAGCTGATGGCAACAACTACAACATGAAGCATTTTCATTTTTCTCATTTTTAACCAATGGCATGTAGCATTCCTCCCTGTGTAGTTTGGACCTATATATATTTTTCCCCTACCCACCCACTGCTTGTTGTGGGATCTGATTATTACAGCCTAGTTGTTTCTTAAAAAATGACTAACTTTTCCACTGGGTACAGCTAAAATACACAGAGGCATATTTTAATTGCCTATGAATATTCAAAAGCTCATTATTGTTACAGTCTTATAATTATCCTATTCCCCTGACGAAACATGCAGCACACACAATAAAAAAGGCAATCCATTAAAAAGTGTTGACATCTATGTTCAACAGTTCCTGGAGTTTCTTGATTCGCTGGATATCCAACTTTCTTTAAAATCGCACCAGGAAAAGGAAAACTGATGATTCACGTTTGAAGAAGTGGAGCCCTGCACATTGGCAATGCAGCTTCAGTGTTTTATACTGAAAAACAAGCAACCTTTGAGTGTGAGCTTAAGTTGGGGAGATGGCAGCAGACATAACTTTGCTGCTGCTTCCTATGAATACATGCTTGCGTTTTTGATGCATGGGACTGGTTGTCTGGATTTCTGGATCTGCTGGTAATTTCTACGCTGTCCACGTGTTAGTGGTTCCAGTTCATAAAGGTAAAGGTAAAAGGTAAAGCAACCCTGACCATTAAGTCCAGTCGCGAACAACTATGGGATTGCAGTGCTCATCTCGCTTTACAGGCCGAGGGAGCAGACGTTTGTCCGCAGACAGTTTTTCCGGGTCATGTGGCCAGCATGATTAAGCCACTTCTGGCGAAGCCAGAGCAGCACACGGATATCGCCTCAGGCGGCAGGATCCACAGGAGCAGCAGATCTTGATGCTACTCTTTATTCCCTTTTGTTCCTGATTTAAATCTTCACTCACCCCTTCTTCCCCAGTGGGGACTGAGCCATCATTTTGTGGTTCACCTCAGGTACCAAAGATGCATTGGACCGGCTCCAGATTGCAGCTGAGGGCTGGCAACCCTTAGTGCAGGTTTCCACTATGGCTGAAAATGAGATGGTCCATCTCATTTCCTGTTGGCAAATCATGGGGCTTCTAACCCAGTTCATCAATATCATGTGGGAAAAGATACATTGAAGTGGATTGGGTACCCTAATGAGCACTTTCAGCCTCTCTTTCCTCCTTCCCCATGGTAAATATTCATTATCAATCAATCAATCAATCAATCAATCAATAGAAGTTCATTGTTCTAGCCAAAGGCCATGACAAACCTGCAACAGTACCAATAAAACAATACAGATCATACATCCACAATATGACCCAACACCCATGATGTAAGGGAGAGATTACCAGAGAGAGACACCAACAAACTCAAAGCCAGCTTGATATCAGATTAAATTGTTGTGAATCACCACAACAATTTATAGTGATTTTATCTAACTCATTTTTCCCTTATTTTCTTTCCCCACTCCCCTTTTTTTTTGCAGCTAGTGCATACTTTTCACGTAATGCAAAATGGGTCCTAGATTTATATGATCCAGAGATGCTATTTTACATATATAATGATACAACATGACATAAAGTTTGAATAAAACCGTTTTTACGGCTCTCTTGGGTCAGTCCCTTAAATGCTCTGCTTTATTCATGTGTGCTTAGTTCTACCATTTGAAGCAGTAGCCTGTAAGAGCAACAAAACAATCATATTTGCCAAAGTGTAGCAAATGTCTTTAATTAATGTCATCAAAGCAGTTGCTGCTAAAGCCACAAACGTTTCAAACAGCATTTTATAAATGTAAGTGAAGTCTATTCAAACCCTCCAAAAATAGCTGAGAAAGTTTGATATATATTTTTTGACGCAATTTGAGTATTCGGGAATGCTCAAGTAGGAAGAGGTATGCACAGGACCTAATGGCTCTCAATCCACCAGGGTCCCTGGGGAGCTTGAACTATATCAAGTTACAGAGTACTATCAAACAACTTGAGCACTGAGCACTGAATCTGGGGATTTGCCTAGATGGTTTTCAAGAGAAAATTGGAGGAAAATATCAACTGACACTTGCTTCTGTGCACTGTAATTGGCGTTTGGGGGAAAGGATTCTTGGGTAACTTAAAGCAATTGGCTGAAGGGAGAATATTCTGCATGCCTTCTTTATTTCAAAGAGAAACTATGAGTCATGGGTAAAATGTGTTTTACTGAAGTGTAATAGTGTGAGGAGAAGGTTGCAACGTTGGAAACTTTTTAGTTTAGGGAACAGGAGAGTAAGGGTTGACATGATAGAAGTTCATGGGAGGAAGTGCACAGAGAAAGGTTTTCTCTTACAACACTAGAACTCATGTTGCCGAATGTGGGGAGACTCATAACAGTGCATAGTTAAACTATGGAACTCATTCCTACAGGAGGCCCACTTGGGTGGCTTTAAAAGAGGACTAAACAAATTCATTAGCCCCTCCTGGGATGGAAATTCATTAGGCCCTCCTGCCAAATTACAGAGGGTTTTGTGTTGGATACTTTTAAAGCTTTTGTTCAAAGCTTTTGCCTAACCTTGTTGTTGTGTGGCAGAAATGGATGGAATTTGAAGGTTTGTTAGCCTCTTCTGAAATAACGAACCCTGCCAAGTTTCAGAAATATGCTATTCCTTCAAAGCGAGCCTTTACCATTCTGAGTGTTTAAAAGAGGATACACTTCATCTCTACAATTGTCTTGTATGTAATTTGTCTGAAAATGTTCAGACTACTCTGGCGTGGCTTTGGACTTAGCCATGTTGGCTGGAGTGGATGTGGGTTGTCATCCTGCAACATCTTGAGAGCCACAAGTTGCCAATTTCTGTCTTAAATGGTGGAAATCCAGGATCTAATGCAGCCATCCTTATCCCATTTACCTGTGAATATATAATCATTGGATTAAATAGATATTACTGATTAGGATCGCACTATAAATATCTTAAATACCTATAGGGTTGCATAAAATATGTATCTAAAATGTTATCTGCTTTTGCCAGCTGCTCACATGCTGTCAAAACCGATGATATATTTGTTGGCTACTTACTTATGTCTTAGTATTACTCTCATTTACCTTGACAATGGCATTGTGGTGTAGTGGTTTAGAGTGTTGAAGTAGGACCTAGGGGAAACCAGGGTTCAAATCCCCATTTAGCTATGAAGCTCATTGAGTGACCTTGGGCCAGTTGTGGCAGGGGTGTGGTGAGGATTAAAAGAGGAGGAGAATAATGGGGATAATATCAGAATGTACAAGCCAAGAGGTTTTTTTCAAAAGCCTTAACTTCTTGTTCTAGTTGGTTCAAATTGCATGATGCCATTGTCTAGATATCTTTCAAATATTTTGGATTGCTTGAAGATAACTCGTTCATTTTAACATTTTGCTGTAGCATAATCCAGAGACCTAATAAATTCTCATAGCTTTTCCATTTTAAGTTTGGGTTGTTTTCCCCCCAGTATATAAGGTATGGCTCAGTTACCAGTAATGTAAATCTGTTAAAGCATATAGTAAAAGAGAAGATATGAGTAGCCATGAAGAGTAAGGAACTTAAATTCTGTGAAGTACTTGCCAACCTACTGGCTGGCTGATATATTTTTTACAGTGACTTTGCTTTTCTGGGAAGTTTCATGTAATGGAACAGATATCAAGGTTCTTTATGGAAGCACTTACAAAGAGAGTGTAAGGAATTTCATTGCAAATGCCAGACACTCCTCCCTCCACACTTTCTATCTATCATGTTGGTTCAGAAGATCCATCTGAATATTTCAGAGCTTTGGGTAAGAGTGAAGTGGGGAGTGAAGTATTTCTTCTCCACTTAAAGAAAATGATGATGATTATTTCTATACCACCCTTCATCTGAAGATCACAGGGCGTCTAACAGAATAGAACACAAAAATACATACCATAGTAACAAACGAAAACAATACCCCACAAAAGCAGTTTTAAAGACTGTCGATTGTTTAATTAGCCAAAGGCCTGGGAGAAGAGGAATGGTTTTGCCTGGTGCCTAAGGACATGTATTGAAGGCATGAGGTGAGCCTCCCTGGGGAGAGCATTCCACAAGCAGGGAGCCACTGCCGAAAGGGCCCACTCTCGTGTTGCCAATTCTCACACTGTCTTGGGCCAAGCCTTTATTTGATCCAACATACACCCTTAAGTTGGCAGTTCTCACACTGGAGGGATTTAAAAAGTGGAGTCCCCCAGACATCATTATTGAAATTGGTCATGAATGATCTGGAAATAGGGGTGAGGAATGAGGAGGTGGCTGGGTTTGTTGATGACACCAAATTATTCAAGTAGGTAAAAACAAAAATGCCCCTTGTTGAATACAGAGTCCAGGGCTAAATAAGGCGGAATAAGGCAGAATAACCACCTCAGGAGGCAGACGCTGCAGCTGATCCTCCTGACCCCACCCCCCGCCATTTCCTTCTCTCACCACATAGCTTCTCTTGGGCTCCCTGCACTGGTGTGCTGCCTTAGATGCAGTGAGATATTCTGTCTCAGTATTGAAGTTGGCTTCTTGTCCTTCAAATGGGGCAGCAAAATGGATTGACCCAGCCCTTCCTTTGATCCCACATACACCCTTATGATATCACCAGGGAGATGGAAATGACAACAAAAGGACTTATGAGGAAGCAAGAATGACAGAGGGCACCTACAGTGTGAAACAGACAACCTTAACACCTTAAGTATTCAGAAAAATCAAGGAACACAATACACGTCTCTCTTCTCATGGGTGAATCTGCATGAAACCCAAGCTCTGAGATATTTGCCGTTCCATGTATCTCCTGTGAAAACAGCCTTAGAAGACTGCCTCTAGGGTGTAGTAGAGACTCTTTTTCTGCTGCTTTTATATAGAGTGTGATGAGAAGCAGGGTGTCGCATTGCATGAGACACTTGTCAGACATTCACAGCTAAATACCACCACTCTGCAGTCTGTACAATAACACTGTGCTTTATTTTCTGCATGTTGAGCTGTTCAGCTACCTCAAGCAACTCAACAGACCACAATCCAATTCCCAGTTAAAAAACAAGTTTTTGAGTATATATTTTTGGTGGAGAGAAGGGAGAATTTTTATCACCCATTACATTTTTTAAAGTTAATTAAAATGTTTTCAGCATGTTATTTACCATGCACAATGCTTAGTGCACCAGAGAAGCAAACCAGAGAAGCTGTCGCACAACTTCCATTCACTTCAGCAGCATTCTTTGAGAAGAATGCCCAGCAGATTGCCCCCTTGACTCTAGTTAGTTAGGCATTGTGATGAAGAAAGCCCTTATACATTAAAACTGGTGCTGAGATTCCACAGTCAACGAGGGCTAATACCTTCACATTGGGGACACGGGTGGCGCTGTGGTCTAAACAACTGAGCCTCTTGGGCTTGCCAGTCAGAAGGTCGATGGTTCAAATCCCCACAATGGAGTGAGCTCCCATTGCTTTGTCTAAGCTTCTGCCAACCTAGCAGTTTGAAAGCATACCATTGCAAGCAGATAAACACAGTAGGTACCACTGTGGCGGGAAGGTAAATGGCATTTCTGTGTGCTCTGGCTTCCATCACAGTGTTCCGCTGCGCCAGAAGCGGTTTAGTCATGCTGGCCACATGACCCAGAAAGCTGTTTGCAGACAAACGCCGGCTCTGTTGGCCTGAAAAGTGAGATGAGTGCCGCAACCCCATAGTCACCTTTGACTGGACTTAACCGTCCAGGAGTCCTTTACCTTTTTTTACCATTTTTGCTCTTGATGCACTGCCTATCTTGCTGCCCAAAAGCTTACCTTTTGAGCTGGCAGAGGTGGTGTTGAGTATGGTGTTGGATAACACCGGGATTCTAGTTCTGGGACTATTCAAGATCTATGCCAAGGCGATCTTGACTGGGCCAGCTGAGAACTTCAGAACTTCCATGGCAATGGACGGCCCCAAGTTCTAAAACCCCACCAGCCCAGTGGCTACAACTGAAAGCTTTGGAATTGTGATGGGTAAGGAGTGGGAGTTCATCAGAATCTTGTGTTTATTCAGAAGTCAGTTCTACACTCAATTATGCTATTACACATCAACAATACTGGAGTGAATGGAGAACCAAACACTATTGTCCCATAATTTCCACTCACATCACCTATCCTTTCATGATGGAGCATAGAATGCCACCCAAACAGGATTTAATCATAGGTATGCCACTAATGCCATAAAAGACCCCGGCAAGGAATCCTCAGCTCGGATATCAAGGCTTGTGACATGGAGCCACATCTATCCATCCTATTCCTACAGAAATCAGAGCACACAAATCAGACCTTGTGATGGAAAACTGGTGAAAGGCTTCATTGAACAAACAGCAGAAATACAAGAAAACACACACCAATGGGTCTATGGCGTGTACTCCAAATCCTCACACTTTCTTTTAAGGCTTCCCTGACAGACTTGTTGAGATTTATATCTGACTGATGTCATCCAAGTCAGGAAGTCATAGGCCTTTAAGATGAAATATGACTGAATAGATGGCAGAAGGATATAAATCCACATTCATCTACCACATGGGATAGGTCTCTATTATTCCCTGTTAATATGGGGGGAAGTGAGATTGTCAGATAGTTAATTTCCCTTGGTCGGCTGATTTCCCTTGGTTAGCCAGTGGCTTCGGGGTTGAGCTGGGACCTAACCCCCATTGCCAGGTCCAGCCCCAAGAACAGACATTTCCCCCAGTTGTGAACTAAGAAGGAAAAAGTATGTGCTTTATTTATTCAAGTGCCCCTGCTACTATATCAAATCTTTCTATGCTATCTCCCATCTAGCTTAAATAGCTTCATATTTCCTAGGTATGCTGGTCAGAGCATGGCATCACACACAAGTTGCTTGTTTAAACAAGGAAGTAATTTTGGGCAGGATATTAACTGAGGGCTTTTTCTCCATTTGCAGAACACAGTCGGTGATCCTGCATCATCTCATGCTTATTTCACTGGCTCTTTAGATATTTTGCAGCACACATTTTATAAAATATAGCGGATCTCACTGTGAATGTCAATTAAAACTGGAGCTAGTGGTCCTGGCAATCTTCTTCAGCCACCAGTATGGAGGTCCAGATAAGGTCTGCCTACCTGCCTCTCTCACACACACAGAGGGAGGGAGGGAGGGAGGGAGGGAACTGGGCTGCTGCTTATAATTTCTTCACTCCATTGGAAAAGTCTCCTGTTCTCTCTCATTGATACCTCAGCCTGATCTACATATGCAGCAGAATAAGGTGTAAAGTGATAGATAGATGGTATATTTTCAGATTGCAGGTGACATATCTCGTGTGTGTGTAGGTAGGTAGATAAGTAGGTAGGTAGATGATAGATAGATAGATAGATAGATGATAGATAGATAGATAGATGATAGATAGATAGATAGATAGATAGATAGATAGATAGATAGATAGATAGATAGTTGCGTCAACAACTGAACACTTGCACCACTGACTGAGATCATATTGGTCTCTTACACCAGTACTGTCTTCCAGAACTTCATCCCTTCCTCCACGATTGCCATGATGTTTTGCTTAGCAAAACTAGTTCAGTATCTGACACTGGAATCCCTTTCCAGGTTCTTTTTCTTGCTCGTATATGTTCTTTAAACCACTGGGATGCACTTTCATTTGCGGTTTTGGTTTGGATTGATCCAGAGCACCCTGTTTCATTAAGACAATAAATAAATTGTTCTATATCTCCTGGTATTCTGTGTCCTTCCCCCCCTCCCCCCAGTAAATGTGTCAGATGCTAAACTTTAATGATTAATGGAACCATTTCAGCAGGCAACAGCTTTGCCAGTTGTTTAGTTTGGATTGATCATATTGGAAGTGCAACAATGAGAATCCTTCAGTTCATGATTTAAGGGTTAATTAAGTTATCAGCAAATCACTCAACCAAGGGGGGTGGGTTGTGATGTTGCTTAGGAACCAGGCAGAGTAGCATGATGTTTGCAGAGGTAGCATGATTGGCTGTGTAGGTCTTAGAAAGTTTTTCTTCTGTATATTTGGATTAATTTCTCCCTGATGCTTACAAGGCCTGAAGTAAAAAATGAAAAAACATCTCTGTTCCTTTCTCCTTGGATTGTACACTGTTTTCGTTTAGCTCCCTCAGTAAAGAGTTATCAGGCTTTCTTTCCCCTCTGGATTCCATTGAAGTGACTTTGCTAACAGACCCAAACTGGAAAAGTGGCTTGTTAACTTTCATTGGGTTACAGAGCTCCACAAGGAAGGGGAGACTGTGCTGATGTTCACTTCCTTTTAATATAGACAATGAAACTAGCATGATTTATAAATCCTTTCCCATTGCTGAATACAGCTGCAGGTACGACTATGAGACTGTCTTGGTTAGTCCTGATAAGATGAACATGGTTTATGAGAGGTTCTACTTACAGTGGGGGGCTCAGCAACCCAGAGAGACTGTTAACTTTTCTGCAAGGAGCTGAGCACCAAATGTGCTGATAAAAAGAATAATTTAGAGTTAGACTGGTCCCTGGCATTATAGACTAAGAAATGAGCATCTGCAGGTGATAGAAAGCCATGCAGGCTATCAGTTGGTAGCAGCTGCAGCAGCCATTTGGGGGGGGGGGGATACAGTTTTCCTGTAAAAATGGTGCACAAGACTGGACCCAGAGGTCCAGACATTTTAGAAGAACACTGAAGCAAATACCATTTTTATTCAGAATGCTCTGAATAGTTAAAGGTCCACAGCATTCCAGGAATTCACCAAGCTACAGCAGCCCTGTTTAGAAAATGTTCAGGAAATGCTATTCTATTTTGTTTGTGTGTTGCAAACCTAATAATTTGTGAGACAGTTATTAATTTATAAATAGACACTGGAGTCGATTTCTCAAGAATTCCAAAATCCACCTGCTCTGTGTAAAAAGGTAGATTGTCTTTGTCTCAATAGTCTTTGGGAGGCAGCTTTGGTTGCGTAAGGCAATTTTGTGCAAAAGTGAAACATGATGTCCGTATGCAGTGTGTGATGCCATGCTCTGACCAGCATACCTAGGAAATATGAAGCTTATTTAAGCTAGATGGGAGATAGCACAGAAAGATTCGATATAGTAACAGGGGCACTTGAATAAATAAAGCATGGAGTAACTGCCAGAATGGCCATATTGAAGAAGATATTGGCTACTTTGATCTGACTGTATTTCACTCCATATATGGCATGAAAGCTTATACATTTACATTGAAGTAAGTCCCATTTTGTTCAACGGAGTGTACTCCAGGAGTTAGTGTGCATGGGATTTCAGTCTTTAAAAGAAGTTAATTGCTAAGACACTACCTCATTGCCTATCCTGCATGAAGCATTGTAGATTTTGTTTTTAGGCATTATGCTTAATCGTTCAATATAGGGGAAGGTTCAGAAGTCACTAGCTGTCAGGGGCTGGACTGAGGAGGAATGGTGGGAGCTGCTGCCCCTTCTCCTGAACCTTCCCAAGGGCAGGAGGACAGTATTGATTTAGAGCAGTGGTTTGCAGAGGGGCATAGTCCAGAGGGGGAAAGCTGGGAAATACTGGGTGAGGAACAGCTA